ATACATTGGTACCGAGCTGGATTGCTTGTCATTGCTTATCAGTAGTTCCACACCACATAAAGAAACTCAATTACATGGGTTCAAAGAAGCTGGTATTGCTATGAAGTATCGGTTCTTTTTAAATAGACCTTGAGTGTGTCGTGTATCACTTAATGGCATCAAATGCATCAAGTTACACGTTCAAGGCCATCCGAAAATCTCTTCATATTTTATGAGCTTAATAAAATCTCCAGGTTCCTTGCAAATTGACTCCACCAGAAGCGCCATTTCAGTTGTTCTTCAAGATCCCCGATGTGATTACCGAATTTATCAAATGAACGTTCTTCTTCTAACGGGAAAAATATTGGGGGAATCAATGTGGAAAAGCACATAGCGATCAACTGTTCCCTTTCGACATGAAGCTATACATTACATGATTTTTTCAAGTACTGGACACCAAGAATGGACAACCTTATTCTGACCTAAAATTTTGAGGGAGTTTTATGAACAGAGAAGCCTTATCTTACCCCTACTAAATTTATTTTTACTCTGTCTCGTTCAGATTTTCTGAACGACCCGTCCACCCTTTGCATTTTTACTTTATCCCGAGTGGAATCTATCAAACACATAAAAGCGACATTCAGTACCGCTCTGTACTGATCATCTCGAATTATCGACCCTGTACACAAGTTATGTTTGCTTTAAGAGTGGTAAGTCTGGAATAATCCATTCGATTCTTCACAGGCACCAGACACTTTGTGCTCTTTGTCGGTCATTACAAATCTTTCCATCGTTTGTGTTGACTTTGTTTTCAAATGCAAAAGTTTAGGCGGTTCCATGTCAACTTTGATCACATATCACATATTACGAACGCGTTTTCGGTTTTGTTACATCATCGAGACAAACACCGACTAAGGATACTCGAGGCATTATCGATCGCTCACAACAAACCCACACTGTGCGTCCAAAAGCGTATGACCTTTACCCTCGGCCTTCCCTGGCTGTAACCAATCACGTGCATCACACACACTGTACACATTCACACACACACACACACACACATGGTTAATACTAACTAGATTTCTTAATTCGCTTCATTTGTTTATTCTGTTCGATGTTATACGTACGCGACCGATGAGAGTATACGAAAGGAATTTCTCTCGCAGTGTTTGTCTTCTGACTTGCCTGTTCAAATTCATTACGGGATCCAAATGTTTCACATATCAGTTTGCCAATCTTATTCCATTACCTTCGTGTATACTGCTTCTAGTATAATTAAAAAAGGAATTCAAACTTTTAAGGAGATTTACGCTCGTTCTGATGTGTACCCCGATTGCTGAATTGGCGAATAAAACGGATGCATGTTGTACACATTGATTCGTTCGGAAATTTGTTTGTGATGATCTCTTAAAATATCGCTCCATCTCCTTGACATTATTTCCACCAGAATAAGACTGTTCACTCCTGCCGTCATCAGCTCGCGCACCGGTAAACAAAAATCTGATCGTGGCGGAACTGTGTGTTTTAATTTTATCTGATCTGCATTACTTTTTCACGCATATGTAATTCTCTATCTCCGAACAGTTCATTGTTTTGTTATTTGCAGCAAACGTAATGCTTCATGCATGCACACACTTGACAACGCAGCGCAAAACCAAACTTGGGGACTTTCGGCCGAAATGGAATTTTTCCTCACCCCAGTTTGCCGCAGTTTTCCCTAATCAGTATTTCGGACACATACATATGGGGAAAATACACTAGTGTCCCCCTTCTCCTCCTGTGCATGAGGTTTTAACCAATCGGTGTGTTCGTCCGGCCGATCGCCTCTGTATCCCATGTCCCAACCCCGCGCATCAGCCCCGTGCAAATACCCTACCTCGGATCCATCGACATCTGCTCCACTTTAAGCATGTCTCAGAACAAGGGGTACGTGTCACGCGCACCCCTGGCCACGCGCTTGGAAAGACCAAGGCCAGTCGGTCACGTGGAGACATAGGACGCGCATTGTGTAGCCAATCCGTGCACACCCGATGACCACAGGTTTGGACCAATCAACATTCAGCTGGATGAACACGTGCTTATTGTGTCTCAATTGGTTAGTGCCTGGGAGAAATAAGCGTAGCATCAGCAGAGTGTGAAACACAAGAAAGAAGTGATCACTCTAGCCCGCACCATCATAATGGATGCACGCGTGCCGAAAAAATCCATGTTTCAACCAAAAGATCATTCGGAATTGAATTCCGAGGCCGATATTGGTGACGATGCTCCTGCTCTGGACGAGGCCGATTCCGAACATTGCTCATTCTCCCTACTGGACTCCGATGAAGATGCTGGCCATTTGAACGATGAGGCTGAAATTGATCATAGTGGATCACGTCCTGATTGCACAAATATGTCTTCCTCGCTTACGGATGCCATTGTTTCCAGTCCGTCCTCATCCACTCAGTCCATGGATGAGTATTCCCTAACCCGACTATCCGAGCCCCGACCGAGTTCCGGTCGCGTAACACGAGCGAAGAGTGACCGACGTACAGCCAAACAGTTGACTGAGAGAAAACGTCGCGATCGAATCAACGCTCTATTGGATACGTTACGCACGTTGATTTTGCGTCTTTTGCGGAAAAATGTGAGTTACCAATACTATATTCCGATTTAGACATTCAGTTTCATGACTCGGTATAACCCTTTGGTGAATATGGGTGATGGTAGTTTTTATTGCAAAAAGCGAATTACAATATATATATATATATAAAGCCAAAGTATGCAAAATTTAGATTTGACATAAATGTGTTACCTGATTTCCTGATTGTGGAATCCACAGAATGTGTGATTTTACCAATCACGGGTTCGTTAATGTGAGTGAGAGTGGTAAGAGCTAAACTTTTAGGATGAAGCAAACCTCGTCCCTCCACGGTACCCAACACATTTATTTCGGGACTGCACACATCAATACTGAGATGGATAATTGAAATCGTACGTTGTAGAGTGTTTTGACAGCTTTGAATGACTAGTGAATCATAGCAAGAAGCGTGCACTTTTCTGTTTGTATTTACAGAGCGCGTACACCAGAGTGACAGTAGCTACAAAAACAATCCACGTGCCCCCGAGTTGGGGACCGGCATCATAGAACTATCGTAATATGTCTTCGAGAGAGNGGGGGGGGGGGGGGGGGGGGAGAATTCATATGGTGGGTACTAAACTAAATTGATGAAGGGATATCAGGTAGACATTATTGAGGAGCAACGACTACGACGAAACACAGGGTATACTTCCGGGGCCAATATTTCCCAGTCAAACATTTAGCACTGATTAACAAGTAATTCAAAATTGGACCGATTTTCGAATTCGAAAAAATGGAAAAGCATCTAAACCACTGAATATTGACACAGAATCAACTAACCTATTCCTCAGGATTCATCTCGAAACAGCTTCCATAAATGTGACTGAAAATACAAACCAAAATATCCAATTACAATTGATGTGATTTTCTGTGGCGAAGTTTCGCTTATTTCTTTTTCCTATCTTGTTTTTACAACGCTCTGGTTGTCACCGCGTGTTGGCCGATCCAGTTGACTTGTCCTGATCTGACTTCACTTGTTTTAATTGTTTTTTCCTCCTTTATGATCATGAATAACAAACAGACACGTGACTGGTAAACAGGAATTGAATGTTTTGAATGTTTTTATGAATGTCTAACCCGTATAAAATTAATTTGGATTAAATTGGTTAGAAACGCTGAAGCTGACGTAGAAAAAGATCGAGAGTATACAATAATCCCTCAAACTGCCTTCACTACGTCAAACTGGTCTGCCGAAAGTTGCCGCAAAATACCTCAAATGTACAACTATTTACGTGACCTCCTATTTGGAAACTGACGCACAAGATATTTGTAACACCCCTCGCGTGACCCTAGAGGCATTCTCAACTACGTTAAAATAATGACGGTTGTTCGCCTGCAGAACATCTGTATTGTGACTGTCTCTCCCTGATTGAGAGAATATCTCTGACCCTCGCTTCCACGTCACCGCCCCTCTCCGTCGCGTGTCCTTTCGACTACTCTCATTTATGCCCCCAATCCAGAAAAAGAGTAGTTATACGTAGTTCAGTTCACTGTGTCCTTGTCAGCGTTTAGTTTCACCAGGATCATTTTTTGCATAGTTCTTTCGATGGCTTCCAGAACAGGATGAAACAAGTTGCCCTAAGGTCAGTGGAACAAACGTTCAGGTAACAAACGCCGTGTGTGTCCACGCACACCTCTGACGCGTGCGCTATTTTTTGGGGGTAGGTGGATGGAGATTAGCCAGTAGACGCTCAGCATTATTCTATTGACCTGACCGATCAGAGACTGTCTTTGCATATTGTTCAAAACGCGCATGTATCGCTGCTCAGTCTTAGTCGAGCGGTAAATATCTTAATGCGTTCTCCTCCAGATAGGATCTCCTTGAAGACAAGGGGGAAAATGCACATCGGGAGCACACGCATCAAAACGACTTAACAGAAGTGTACTGGATATACGTACATGCGTTGAACAGTAGGAATCGCGGGTTTTCGGGGGGAATTTTCTCCAGTCGCTCATATACTACTTATTATTGACATTTTATTCAACATCCATTTCACCTGTATCAAAATTAAGTTCATTTTAAATTGATGTAATCGTTCACTCTTTCTCTGTTAAAAAATTGTAAGCAGAATAATAATAATAATAATGAATTGCGTGAAATAACTAAGTGAATGATTTAGCTGGCAACGGGGAGTAACATTCAAACAACGCGCTTTTCTTTATCGCATGAATGAAGACAAATTGACCCATTTTGAGTAAGTCACACCGGTTCTTCCATCAAACCGGATCAATTTTTAATTCTCTTTGGCACCGTGATCTTCCAATCAGAGTTTCCCCAGTTTTTCTATGGTTACATCAGGCTAAATTCGGTATAGAACTCACAACTTGTTCTTTTCTGTTGTGAACCGTTTACACGTGAGAATTACTAGTTGGTTCACAACTACAAACAACTGATAGACTGAATTGAACAATACTGCCCACACCCAAGCACAATTGTGCATGTTCCACACGAATGGGTACTGGTGTAGTTGAGAAATGAGAACGTGTTTTTCTTGTCAGTGAGGCCGTACATGTGCTCGGTTTATTCGCTCGGGTGTGAGTGAGGATAGACCCGAGCTTGCGGACACCTTACCTTCTAATCGACAATCCCTCTTCCTCTCCTTCCCAACTCTCTCAACCCGGATCCGAAACAAGTGTAATTGTTTAACTATATATTTTGTGGAACTTATAAAAGTGTTTACACTGCAGTATATCGCAATACGATAAGCGGAACGGGTGTCCTTAGCCATCCACCAAGTAGAAAACCGGTTTGGGATAACTGCATTATCGGACCTAAAGCGGAGACTAGCGTGTGTGGTCTACAAACGGACGTACCCGAACAGAATAGCCTAAATTCCCTGTGCCTAATATACAGTGTCATATGTGATTCACAATGTAGCTTTGAGTTAGGGAGGTCTGTGTAAAATTGAATTTTTGTTCGTGTAAGGGGAATGGCAAAGCACAGTTCTCCCCATTACGTAACCGACTGGTCTAACACACCAAAAGATAAATCAGTAAACTGGTGATAAACATCAAGAGCTGGACCAGATTACATTTGTGTGCTTCCTGTCTAGGTGTAGCAGATATGAAAAATACACTTTTTATGAGTATGAATTCATTTGCGATCAGGAGTACAAGTGCAACGAAGGAAAACATATCCACCGACCCCTGTTGACTTCACTTAATCAACGATACTACAGGACTCATGAGAATGATCCAGACTTTGCTGCTGCCCTCCCCTCCCTTTTCTGCTTACATTTCTTGTCTGTCTGACTCGTCTTTTCTTAAACGCGGATGGTGAAATATTTGGCTTACTCTGCCCCAAACAACCCAACACCTCAGACTACGACGGAAATTGAAGATCGATCCCTGAAAATGAATCCCAAAAAACATTCTGGCATCATAGTGTCTTTGTGAAAGTCTGTAAATACGACAACTTACCTAGTACTGTTGTGAATAATCAACGGGATGAAAAAACATCTGTCAAATATATTGATGTAATCTTCCCCATTGGCCTTATCTGTTCCGATCACATCACAAACGCTTTTTGTCTCCAAGGCTTTATGGATCCGTGGTTATTTCCCTAAAAGGATAGTCAATTCATTTGCAGATAACTCAAGTTTCTTTCGACACATGACCTTGTGCAGTATATATTGCAATTGTAAATGCAAAATCTTCCCCTCCCTTAAGGCCTGCACATACTGGCCTTAATCAATGCCTTTCCTCTTCAATATGAACGCACACATAAATACACACACGGAAACCCATAAGAATTCTGCTGTTTACAGTTTCGCTAGATTTCTTACGAATGCAGAACTCTAAAATAAACAGACATTTCTACTGGAATTAGTTGTTGATTGTTGTAGCAATTTTCTATTTGTAACTTTTATGTACCGCACTGATCCTTTTGTGATGCATAGTGTTTATGCGGATGGATACATGAAGTGAGCACTTGATTTCATTCATATCACTTTTCTAAGTAAATTGGATCTCTCAAACAGTCTCATATGAACATACACATGTATGCCCAGTAGGTGAAGATTGCCTGCCTAATCATATAGTGCAACCCTGCTGAACAGTGGAGCTCCAGGAAGTTGATCACAGCCCTGTGCAGGTCCCGACTTTGAACAGAAGAGAGCTAGAGAAAGATGTAGTAGTTGACACGTTGCAGGCTGCTGACGACCGTTCAGGATAATTCAAGTATAATTTCTGTTCGAGTTTGAATCCCCGGCGTTCTGTCAAGGAGTACGCGTAGTACACTGGTGTGGGAATCTGCATGATGAATACTAGCCTTTCAAAATCGAGCCGAATTTTCATGATCTGGATTAGGACGTGAGGCTTAATTCTAAAATGTGCTAACTATTTGTTGATCTGTGTAGCACACTGGGACAAACGAATATTTTATACTTACTGGAATAGCTGTAGAATACTCAGTTCTCACCTGGCCTATTTTTGCATTAAAAAACGATACGACTAGCAATCAGCAAGTGGGTACTGGTTTCATCTCTTCACAGTCACAAACTGGCTAAGATAATCAGCTCTCAATCATTTTCACC